CACACACACACACACACACACACACACACACACCTCCTGCACTCACGCAGCCATTAACCCCCTCAAATTACCTGTCAAAAGAACTCCAACAGATTGGCTGTAGACCATGCCGTTCAACTAAACAGGTACTGTGCAGCAATATTCCACAAACAACGATGAGGGGAGAGAGAGAGAGAGAGAGAGAGAGAGAGAGAGAGAGAGAGAGAGAGAGAGAGATTAGGAGGAGACTTGTCACAAATAATCCAATTTATGAGGCTGCATTCCGACAGCATCCAGTCAAAACGGTCCCTGCTTTGAAAAGAGAGCCAGGGAGGAGATGAGGTCAAACACAGGGTTATGGGGCGCAAGAGAAGAGAGGAGAGGAGGTTTGCAACAAGGGAGAGGAACTCAGCCAATGAATGGCCGCAAGCAGTTCAACAGCGATAACTTCCCTTTTCATTCTTTTTAATTCCCCATTAGAATGCGTTCTATTTTGTAATCTGTATTATTTTGTAATCTGTAATCTGATATTAACGCATCTTATTTTCTAATCTGATTTCCATGCTTCCTTTGCTTTTACAGTGCCATATGATTTTGTGTTCGGCCTTGCTCTTTCATCACCGATTTTTAAGTGACCTCACCAGTTTCTTTTGTTGCAACGAATTTCCTTGTGAAACACGACCAGCACAGTGACTGTGTGTGTGTGTGTGTGTGTGTGTGTGTGTGTGTGTGTGTGTGTCCAAGATATAGAGAGAAGGAATATAGAGAAGGGAAGAGAGAGAGAGAGAGGAGAGAGAAGACACGAGGGGAGAGGGAGAGGAGGGGAGAGGGAGAGGAGAGGTTGAGGGAGGTAGGAAAAGCACTGAGAACGAGACAGTGAGAGAGAGGAGGAAAAGAAGAGTGAAGGTGAGAGAGAGAAAAAGAGAGGGAAAGAGAGAGAGAGAGAGGGAGAGAGAGAGGAAGGCACAACCAGGGAAAAATACAGCAGGTGTGCCAATGTGCAGTCGCACAGGTCTATGCGCCTCAGGCCATCAACTGTAAAAGCCACCAACACGTTCTGGTTTGTGCTTTTGGCAAACAGCTGAATGATTAAAAGAAGAGCAGCAAATTCTTTATGGAACCCCTTCGCAGGCAATGAGGATCATTTTCTTTCTAAGAGGCCATGGGAGATGCTTTTGTTCTGCGAGAACAAGGAGGTATGGGGATTCTAGATCCAAAGGACAAGAACTATGCTATGCTCATTACATGGGTCATAAGAGCTAGCTTAGTATCTCCACCATCTCATTGGATCTACATGGTGGAACATTTCCTTCCAAATGAATACAATCTCGTCCACTCAGAAGATGTATGGACCTGCCAAATGTTGTTACACTCCTACCCGTCGAGACAGATTAAATCCCTGTTCTGGCGAGGCATTAGTCAGTCTTGTAGAGATCTAAGACCAGATGAATGGGTACAGCCGGTCACAAAGGCGGAAATCTCGTTAGAGCCACTCTTTGACGATCCTCACATCAGGCTCGCCAACAGAGATAGCTTAAAACTTGAAAGCTGATACAGCACCAGCTAGTTTTGGGAGGTCTTGGATGGAGAAGGGGGTAGTGAGAATTGGCCCAATTGGGACCTGTGGGACGATATCCTGGGGATGTGGATCACAGATTTAGATCTCAGAGAAAAATAAGGCAGGGTACGGAGTTTGGAAGCGAGAAGGCAATATGATTATTGCTGCTATCCCAGAGAGTTGGGGGGGAACAAAAAAACTTGCACCTTAAGCGGTTGACCCCCCAGGGACATGATTTCTGAGCAATACTCTTAACCCCCCTAAGTTTTAGAAACTGGCTGTGACCCAACCAGATGGCAAATACGGTAGGTTGTAAGATTGAGGGAATACTTGCACTAGGACTCTTGTGAATGATCTCTACACGTAACTGCGGTCAGATAAGTCCTGGACCGGCCCGTAATTGCAGTCAGATCCGTCCAGGAAAGTCCCTAGTGTGCGTATAGTCTGATTGTTTATTTGATTAGAGGAAAGACGGGCTTCTCAAGTTTATGGGCGACTAAGACTGCACCATGGTCTTCACCCGAATTCAACATACGGCCATTATTGCTGTATCTAGACGCGAAGTTGCCCCAAATACAGCTATAATAACTGTACGTTGTATTTGGTTGAAGATGGTAGGAAGAGGGTACTGAGAGGTCTTGTTCAGGGTGTTGCCACTCAGGTGTTGTAAGAGGTGAGTGCGGGCATCATTTGGAATCGTGTACGTGATTCGTTTTCGATGGATGGCTTTGCACAAGTTGGTTCTTTTCACTGTAGTGATGTGTGCTGAGCATATTGTTTTCTCTTTGTGTTCATTCCTCAGGTGAGCGAAGAGGAGGACATTCCCAAGTTTGCCGATTACAAGGAGTAGAGAAACAGTTGCGACAACCCTGCAGCACATGAAGACTGGCCGATCTTCAAATCGATCCTGTCTGCCTTCGTCTTTGCTTCGGATGAATCAATAAGGAGAGGGGTTGCTTCAGATGGATGCATAAGGAGAGAGGGGTCATGCATTCTCTCTCTCTCTCTCTCTCTCTCTCTCTCTCTCTCTCTCTCTCTGTGTGTGTGTGTGCGGAGGAAAGGGAGTTTCATATTATTTGGAGAGC